TGGGATCAGTTTGTCACCAGTGCTAAAGCCATTGAACATTTACTGAGTAATTGCTACTAGACAATTTGGCATTGCAGGGGTTGTTGATCCCACTGCAGCTGCTTCAACTAACATTGTATCTGTTTTGTTGCCTGAACTTGTCCCCAGGAATCACAATACCTGGAGCGTCCAAATGACTAGGATAATCCCACATCCCTCCTTAGCTTCTGTAGCATCCCCCCTACTTTGAGATTCCCAAAATAGGACTGCCAGGCTGATGAAACAGTAAATGTCCATTCTAGAGCTCAATGTAAGACAGAATTACCTACCAAGGGGAAAATTTCATTGTAGTATATGCAGTTGTTTTTAAATGTATGTCTAGCTCTGCTACTCAAGCTTTTGCTACCTTCTTCATAAACTCTTGAGCCATAAGTGTTTGTAGAAATCGTCTAGCAGTTCATGGCTCTCTGAGAAAATTATCTATCAAAGGTGGCACAGGTAGTTAAAAAAGTACTTAGACTTTAAATACTGGCATTATTTCCAACAAAGGATTATATCTATTTATCTTACTGTTTAGCTCAGGCTGGTCTTCAGAGTAGAGGTGTGAATTTCCTTCTCAGTTGCCCTCTTCTTCCTCATCTCTGCTGGTGCCAAGAATAATGACTTTTTGAAGGTTTTCTGCCGAGTTCTGGCCGTTAATACTGAATGTAGAATCTCGGAAGCACTATCGTTACTTTTCGTTACGGTTAGTTGTATTGAATGAGCTTCTTTGAGAATGCAATATGAAAATGAGAGATCAATTGTGAGATAATAAAGGCACTAGGTCACCAAGAGAGCTGAAGAAAATGCGTCACCAAAGAACAGACTGAAGAGACTAACACGTTTGAATATTTGCTCAGTTCACAAGTGTACATAGCACTTTCTGTGCTAAATATGATTGTTAATGGTACATGGTATTTAAATATAAAACTAAGGACATAAGAAATATCACAGTGAGTCAGACAGTGTTCTTTGCATCTAAAGATTTGATTTCTAAGAATGGTGCCTAGACATTTTGTGGAACAACATTAGTTCCTATCAAAATTTTTACTGTAAAAGATTGGGGAAATGCACTCATTCTGTTTGTTTTCAACTGACTGATATACTCAGTTCAACAGCAGGCTGACCCATTATTTAAAGAGCTGTTGTTAGTTTCTAAATTATTAATTCCAAACTTACCTATGCTTCAGGAGGTATGTGCATGGCGTGGAATGATAGACATAGCTTGAGGTTTTACACTCCTTGATATGTGACATGTCAACATTTATTTTGTAAAACTGGAAGCTGCTTTCAGGTTAAGTTCCTAATTCTCTTTTGATATATTTTCTTCCCTTCATTCTTGTTGGCTTAAAACCTATCTTGTATTTGGGAAGGGCATTTTACAAGGAGGATCAATTGGGTGCATCACAGTGTAAAAGCCAAGAGATCTACTCTGGAGTCGTGTGGAGCACGCTGACATCCTGCTTCTGCTGCTCAGTACTTTTTTGACGATGTGAAGTTACTTCTCAGAGTCCCAGACCCTTGAGGCTCATCCACCTTATCTGCAAGGTGGAGATAAGAACAGCTATCTCACAGGGTTGTTGCAAAAATGGGTGGTAGATGAAAAAGCAGGTACCTAGTTATGATCCGTGCTGAATGAATTAAAGTTGAGAATTGTTATCAGTAGGGATGGTATTGCTAAATGTAGCTTTGGATCAGGAATAAGAACATCTAGATTCTAATCCAGAGTTGATTTTGGAATTTCAATAATAATAATTTCCAGTAAGAAATTGGCTTTAGTTTTCTCTCTTATAATCTGAGATTTGGATTAGGTCAGTGGTTTTTTTGTGATCTCTGGAGGTGCTTTGAGGTCACTGGGAGTGAAGGGGAACAGTGAGAGGCTTCTCAGCAAGGAGGGCTTCCTTCTCAGCCAGAGCAGCTGTGCTTTTATTTTTTTAATGTATCAGTCTTCATTGTAAACTCTCATTTAAAAAAATGGCTTTTGGCAAGATGTGAACACATGCACACACAGGCACTTTGAAATTAATTGATTTAACAGTTCTCTCAGATCCCTTCCAAACCTAAAATTCTTTGTCTGTTAGTCTGCAACAGAACTTATAAGTTGGTGGTTCAACTGGATCTGTCCCAGTGGCATGTTTTGTTTGTCCTATATAGTGTTTTTAATGTGGAAATTAAAGTGCCCAAATCTGGCTGGGTACGGTGGCTCACGGCTGTAATCCTAGCTAGGTAGGAGGTATAGGTAGGAGAATCAAGGTCCAGGGCTGGCCCAGGCAAAAGGCATGAGACCCTACCTGAAAAATAGTCTAAAGGGGCATGGCTCAAGTGGTAGAGTGCCTGCTTGGCAAGCTTGAGGCCCTGAGTTCAAATCCCAGTAGCATACTCACAAAAAAGTACTAAAATCTAAGATTTTGGAGATTTCACACAAAAAATTTAGGTTCTGTTTTCTTGTGAAAAATGGATATATCTGACAATTCTCTGCCCATATTTTCAGATAACAGGCTTCTAGAGTTGTGTGGCAGTGGCTACTCAACTATGCCCATTGTCTTGTACGCTTTGAGTTCACCTGCCTGGCCTCCTCAGGTGTTTTGAGTCTTCAGTTTGTGATTTGTCCTTTGCACTGTAATAGATATCAGCATTACTGGATTAACCAACTTTGGCGCTCTAGAAGAATTAAACAAGGGAAGTGATTAGCCATGTTTGCTTTATATGAAAATTGTTTTCATAGAGCAAAAATGACATATGTTACTTTCATCTTTCTATCCTTGAACTGGATGATTAGTTCTTAAACGTTGAACATCAGTTTATTGTAGCTGTATTGCAAAATGGCTTCTGAGTTAGAACTAAAAACATTATATTTTTATTCTTTCCTTCAAAGACTCTGATTAGCAGACACTCAAAAAATTAAAGAACTAGACTTGTTGGGGACAGTAAACATGGAAATAAGTGCACCAGTTACTCATACTTCCTCACCCCCACCTCAGTCCCAAAGGATACAGAGACTAGACATTCTCTTTCTCAAGACAGGGGAAGTTAAGAGAAATATTGTGCTGTTTGCTCCCCATTAAGTTCCTGGTAGGTGGTGAAGGGTCTGGTTTCTGAGCATCATTCAAATGAGAGAGAGAAAGAATACCAGCTGTGGCAGCCTTATCTTTGTTCCTCACCTTGCCCAATCAGGGTAGGTGAGTTTCCTATGAGCCCAATGTTCCCCAAAGCTGTTGTTCTCTAATTATTGGGTGTGGATTATCTGTTATGCATCCATCTATCTACCTGTCTGTCTGTCTATCTATCAATGTATGTTTAAGACAAGGTCTCCCTATGAAGCTTAGGCTGACTTGGAACCCAGGTCCTCCTACCTCAGCTACCCAAGTGCTAGAATTACAGGCATGTACCACCGTGCCTGGCTCCTGTGTGGCTCCTTTAAGTCTGGCTTGTTAATTGTAACACCCTAATCAAATTTCATATTTATTAATTTTTTGTCTGCTTGACCTTTTGTTTGCTAAGAAAATTGTACTGAAATTTCTCATTGTGATCATGAAATTCTCAATTTTTTCTTAAAGGTTTGTTGGATTTTGCTTTATATATTTTAAGTCCATTGTATTGGGCATATACAGTGTTCAGCAGTGCATTTGAAATTGTGTTTTTTTTTTTTTTGATTGACCCAGAATCTGAGTGCTTTGTGTTGGGAGGTACTTAGTTGTCCATTCTGATGAAAATACAAATCCTTATTCCTTCTTCCAGAAACTACCCAAAATTTATAGTACACTGATGAGCGTTTTCCCTGTTTGTTTTCAATACAGCTATGGTTTTGAATTCTTTAATCTGTAAACCTTTTTATCTCTTCAGTGGACTTTGGAGAGGAAGGAGATGGTGATATGCAGCTTCAGTGCATTCCCCTGTCTATGTAATGTCAATCAGTTGTTTCATTTACATTTTTATACTGATGACATTCAAATTTGTATCCTGAACCTGGAAGCCTCTTACTTAAGTAGCCAGGCTTCTAGGCATGTGCTACCAAGCTCACCAAACTCAAGTAGTATACTTTGATTCGATTTATTTCCTTCATATCCCCCACCATAGTTAATGCATTTCTCCCTGTTTGTTTGGGGGGTAGGGCTGCAGGGGGACTAAGATGTGTTTTAGGTATGTTGGGTTTGAGATGCAGGAAGTAGATATTTATTTAAGTCTAAACTTCACAAGAGAGAAGGAGGCTGGTGAGTTCCCCGAGGAGTGAGTATAATAAAGAGGTGCGGGGAGCACTGAAGTAACTCTGGAGCTTTTCATTGTTCAGAATCAAGACATGGAAGAGCCAGTAAGGAACAGCCAGTAAGATAGATGGAAATCCAAGAACAGGAGTATCCTGTTAAACAAGTGAAAAAAGTGCCCCGGGGCTGAAGGAGTAGCTCAAGTGGTAGAGTGCCTCCCTCACAAGTTGCAAAGCCCTGAGTTCAAACTCCAGTACTGCAAAAGAAAAAAAAGTGCCCCAGGAAGAGGATAGGATTTATTGGGTCGATTGTCATTGAGCTGAATAGAATGAATTTACCATCAGAAACCTGACATGCTAATGCATGCCTATAATCCCAGCCCTCAGGAGGCGAAGGCAGATGGGTTGAAAGTTCTAGACTTAGGGTGTAGCTTAGTAGTAGAGTACTTGCCTAGCATGCTCAAACACCTCCAAAAAAAGAAATTACATTGAACTTGACAGTATGGAGTTTTTATTGCTCTGACAAGTGGTTTCACTAGAATAATCCATGACTTCTTTAAAAATGTGTAATTGACTGAAAAAATAGTATCCATTTTGTATGAAGATATAATATATCTAACTGTATAAAGTTACTACCCAAAAATTTGATTATAATGAAAGGGAGATTTAAAGATTCTTTTGAAGTAAAAGTGAAAAAGTATATACTTTAAAGTGAATTAATTTCTTTCATTTGTGACTAAAATATTTTCTAACCTTATCTTTCTGTATTTTTTTGCAACAGCATTTTCTTCCTCTTGCAAATCTGGAATGTTCACCAAATGTTGAGACGTTCCTTTGTGAAGCATTTGTACCAACCTGCACAGAGCAAATTCATGTGGTTCCACCTTGTCGTAAATTTTGTGAGAAAGTATATTCTGATTGCAAAAAATTAATTGATACTTTTGGGATCAGATGGCCTGAGGAACTTGAATGTGACAGGTAATTTTTTTTCACTAAAGCTACAAATGGTATTTTAATCTTATTAGCTCTATAGAATATTACTGTTGGGCTTTCATTATTTAATTCCATGAATGTTCATTGCACATTTAATACAAACCAGGCACAATGGTGGTAAGTTTTGCAGACTTACAATAGTTAACAACAAACAGACTCCCACTCTTACAGTGAGTTGGGAAGGGCAGATTGTAATCAAATAATTGTGCTGATAAATGCAAATTATGGCTCTGATGCTTACAACAAAGGAGATGTGCATAGTTCTCTGAAACCATGTGATGGTACCTTCCACCTAAACTAGGGGATAGGGAAGGACATGACTGTTGAGCTCAAGTACAATAAGACTGGGGCAACTGGGCAGTGAGAGGAAGAGAAGCATCTTGGGTCATAGGAGTAGCTTCTTCAGAGGCCTTGTGACAGGAGGGAACTTGACATATTTGGGAATTAAAAATACCAGTGTGAAGCTGAGGGTAGTAGTACATATCTATAATCCCAGCATTTGGGGGGATGCAACAGGAGGGTGGTGAGTTCAAGGCCAGTCTGGGCCACATAGCAAGACTTGTCTCAAAAACCAAAAAAGCTAAAAAACTAGCTAGCATTTGTTGCCCTTAAAGCAACTGAGGCCAATAGGAAAAGGGGAACAGGTACTAGAGAAAAGGTTAGATCAAAAAGAATTAACCTAGAAGGTAACACCCACGCACAGGAAATCAATGTGAGTCAATGCCCTGTTTAGCTATCCTTATCTCAACCAGCAAAAACCCTTGTCCCTTCCTATTATTGCTTATACTCTCTCTTCAACAAAATTAGAAATAAGGGCAAAATAGTTTCTGCTGGGTATTGGGTGGGGGGGGAGGGAGGGGGTGGAGTGGGTGGTAAGGGAGGGGGTGGGGGCAGGGGGGAGAAATGAACCAAGCCTTGTATGCACATATGAATAAAAAAAAAAAAAAAAAAAGAAAGAGGAAAAAGCCAGTGTGGCTTTTTTGGTGATAGAAATAAAACTGTCGTGCAAGGTAAGAAAGGAGAGAGAAGCGGCAGTCAGACCATCCCAGACCTATCTTGCATGTTTTTATGGGAGAGCAATGAGAAGGCCTCTAAGTATTTTAAGATGGGAATGGGGGGCATGCTCCTGCAGACTTCTGTGCAGAGCAGGGCACTCGTGCCACAGTCGTTTGAAGGCATTGGGCTGCTGTCCTTGGCAGTTCACTGCGGGAATCCATTTTGCAGCTTCCACTGCCATGCGGATGTAAGAGAGAAGGCAGAGAACTTGCACTTGACTGCCATGCCCTTGGAACTGTCATCCCTTTTCCATCTCATCCCTTTTCACAAAGTGCCAGTCATTTGGTTGCAACTGAACTAGTGGGGAAGCTGGAAAATATGTGTCTAGAAAGGAAAAAGCACCATTTGTGGAAGACTGTCTTTTCTCCAGCATATGTTTTTGTCATCTTCATCAAAAATCAAATTGCTGTAGCTGTGTGGGCTCATTCTGGATCTTCTGTTGTTTTATTTTATTGATCTACATGTCTGTTTTTGTGCCAGTACCACACTGCTTTGTTACTGTGCTCTGTAGTACAATTTGAAGTCAGCTATTATACTTTAGCATTGCTCTTTTTGCTCAGAATCGCTTTGGTTATTGGGAATCTTTTGTGCTTCCTTGTGAATTTTAGGATTGATTTTTCTATTTCTGTGAAAAATGAAATTGGAATTTTTATGGGAATTGTAATGAACCTATACCTTGTGTTTTGTAGTACTAATTCTGCTCAACCGTGAACATGGGAAATCTTTCTATCTTCTAGTGTCCTCTTCAATTTCTTTTTTGTTCTTTTTTTGGTAGTGCTAGGATTTGAACTCAGGGCCTCAATCTTGGTAAGGAGGTGCTCTACCACTTTTTTGATTTAGTTATTTTTCATATAGGGTCTTGCATTTTTGCCCAGACCAGCTGGACTGCAATCCTCCTGTTTTTGCCTCCTGCATAGCTTGGACCGTAGGTGCACACCACCACACCTAGTTTATTGGTAGAGATGGAATTTCACTAACTTTTTACCCAGGCTGATCTTGAACCATGATCTTCCCACCTCCCAAGTAACTGGGATTACAGGTGTGAGTCACCACATCTGGGTCTTCAATTTCTTTCTTCAGGGCTTTGTAGTTTTCATTGTAGAGGTTTTACATATCCTTTGTTAGATTTCTTCCTAGGTATTTAATTTTTTGAGGCCATTATGAATGGGATCTAATGTTACCCTGATTTCATTCTCAGCCTGTTCATTATTGGTGTATCAAAAAGCTACTGAATTTTTTTTTTTTTTTTTTGTAGTTTGCTGAAAGTGTTTATCAGCTCTAAAAGTTTTTGGGTAGAGTCTTAGGGTCCTTAAACTATAGGATCATATCATCTGTAAATAGAAGTTAATTTGGTTTCTTCCTTTCCTATTTGTATCCCTTTTCTTTCTTTCTCTTGCCTTATTGCTGTGCTAAGAATTCCAGCACTATGTTAAGTAAGAATGGAGAGAGTGGATACCCTTGTCTTATTCCCCATTTAGTACAATGTTGGCTATAGGTTTATAACATACAGCCTTTATTTTGTTAAGGTACATTTATTCTATTCCTAATTTGTTCAAAGCTTTTTATGTTGAATTTTGTCAAGGGCTTTTTATGCATCTACTGGGATGATTATGTGATTTTTGTTCTTTATTCGGTTTATGTGTTATATTGTATTTATTGATTTGTGTATGTTAAACCAGCCTTATATCCCTGGAATGAAGCCAACTTGATCATGGTATATAATCTTTTCAATGCTTTGTTGAATTCAATTTGCAGGTGTTTGTGTTTATTGAGAATTTTTATGTCTATGTTCATCAAGGAAATTGGTCTATAATTTTCTTTTTCTTTTCTTTCTTTCTTTTTTTCTTGTCTTTGTGTATGTCCTTATCTAGTTTTGGTATCAGGAGTTACCTTCAGTCAGGTAACTCCTGTCTTCAGGAGTTTGATACTGTTCCTTCCCTTTCTATTTTATGGAATAGTTTGAGGGGCACTGGTGTTAGTGTTTCTTTAAAGGCTGATAGAATTCGAATTTGGCACTCAATCCACCAGACCCTGGGCTTTTCTTTGTTGGGAGATTATTACTGACGGATTCGTCTTCCATTGCTAGTTACAGATCTGTTTGGGTGGTTTACATCCTCCTGGTTCAATTTCAGTAGGTCACATGCATCTAGAAATTTATCCATTTCTTCTAGATTTCCCAGTTTATTAGAATATAAATTTTTGAAGTGTTCCTAATGACCCTCTGGACATCATTGGTATCTGTTGTGCTATTCCCTTTTTTATCTCAAATTTTGTTAATTTGGGTCTTCTCCCTCTTTCTTTTGTGTAGTTGAGGTTTTGTTGATCTTGTTTGTCTCTTAAAGAACCAACTTTTTGTTTCATTGATCCTTGGTATTGTTCTTCTAGTCTTCATTTTAATTTCTGCCCTGATCTTGATTTGTTGATTTCTGCCCTGATGTTTATTATTTCTTTCCATCTACTGATTTTAGGCTTGACTCTTGTTTTTGTTTTTCTAAGAGCTTGAGGTGCATTGTTAGGTTATTATTTGGGATCGCTCTGATTTTTTAAATAAAGGCACTCATAGCGATAAGCTCCCTTCTTAGTGTGCTGCCTTTGCTATGTCCCAAAGAGTATAGAAATTTTTTCATTCTCCCCCTCAGTTGTTTTGATGACCCACTGATCATTCAGGAGTGAATTTTTCAGTCTCCGTGTTTGAATATTTTCTGTAGTTTCTCTTTGTTATTGATGTCTAGTTTTATTACACCATGGCCTGATAAAATATAAGAACTTATTTCCATTTTCTTCTGTTTGTTAAGACTTCTTTAGTTCCTAAGATAAGATCTATGTTGGAGAAAGTTCCATGGCAGAATGTGTATTCTATGACTGTTGGGCATTCTGTGGCGATAGCTTTCTCTTAAGTTCATTTGACTTAGAGTGTTACTTAATTTTGGATTTGCCTAATGACTTTTTGTCTGAAAGACCTATCATTGAGAGTGAGGTGTTTTTGTGTTGGTGGTGGGGTTTATCTGTGTTACTATGTCCAGTGGTGTTTGCTTTATGAAGTTGTATTCACCAACGTCCAGTATATGTACATTATAATTGATGCCTCCTCCTGCTGGTGTCCTGTTATTAATATTAAGTGACCTTTGTCTCTTCTGACTAATTTTGGTTTGACACCTACTTTATCAGATATGAGTATAGGTACTCCTGCTTACTATCAGGCTTCCATCTTCTTGGAATATCTTTTTCCATTCTTTCACTCTAAGTCCATGTTTGTTTTTACCGTTGTTGTATTTCTTGTAGGCAACAAATGATCAAGTATTGTTTTTAATCCAATCTGCATCTTTTTTTTGGAGAATTGAGACCATTAAAATTCATTTATATTGAAAGATATAATTCCTGCCATTTTATTAGTTTTGTGGTACCTGATTTTTCCTTATTCCTCCTTTGCTTACCTATTTGTCTAGTGATATTTATTCTTTCCCGTATTTTCATGGATGTGTTTATCTTCCTCTTTTGTGTATAGGATTCCTTTAAGTTATCTTCTGCTAGTGCTGCTTTAGTGATTGTGAATTGCCTTAGTTTTTGTTTATCATGGAAGGTTTTTACTTCTAGTTAAATTATGAAGGATAGCTTTGCTGGGATCAGCAATCTAGATTAGCAGTTATTTTATTTCAGGGCTTGAAATAGCATTGCATGCCCTCCTTTTTTTAGAGTTTCTGTGAGAAAGCTGCTATTATTCTGATCAGCTTGCCTTTATAGGTGACTTGGCACTTTTCTCTTACAGCTTTCTATTTTCTTCCTTTATCTGTATAGTTAATGTTTTAACTGTAATATGGTTTGGGGAGGTTCCTTTCTGGTGTTGTCTGTTCAGAGTCCTGAAAGCCTCCTAAGGATGGCTTTTTTTTTTTTTTTTTTTTTTTGCTATTATTTTGTTGAATATGCTTTCTGTGCCTCTAGCTTACACTCTTCTTCTTCTATATTCATCATTCATAGGTTCGGTCCTTTATTGGTATCCCAGAGGTCTTGTATTTCTACTCATACTTCTTTAGTTTTTTTCTCTCTATCTCCATCTGCATGTTCTAACACCTCTACCTTGTCTTCAAGACCTGATTGTTTTCAATGTGATCTAATCTACTGGAGAGAATTTCAACTGTGGTTTTTATTTAACTTTTTGAGAATTTCAGTTTGGTTTTTTTTCTTTATTGAATTCTTCTTTGATGTTCTACATTGTCTTATTTCATTCAATCTTTGTGAGTTTTCTGAGAATTTATTCAGTCATTTTGTTGTGTCCTCTGTAATTTCATTGACTATTCTTATAATCATTTAAAAAATTCTTTGAGAGTTCATCTACTTCGCTGTCATTAATGTTTGTCACTATGGAATTATTGAATGCCGGAGGAGTCATGTTGCCTTTTTTTTTTTTCATGTTTCTTTTGATTCTGTGTTGGGATTTGGGCATTTGAGGCCAAGTTTTTTATTGGAAATTTTGACCATTTGTAGTCTTTCAGTTGAGATATTCTCAGTTTTCAGGCAGGACAGTGTAGTGGCCAGGCTGAGTTGCCATTTCTCACCACTAGATTGGGTGTAGGTTCAGTAGCTAAGCATTCATCCCATGGTTAGGGTACTGAGCCTTATCCCCAGCACTTCTCAGATTGAGGTAAATTATCTCGAGTCTCTTGTAGAATGACTGATTATCTACTTGTGATCTGTTTTCACAAAGAAGGTTCCTTTCTTTGTGTTCTGGGAGCTGCTACTGGCCTGTGTACTGGGAAGGTTCCCAGTTGCTCCACAATCTTCCCAGTTTGTGTCCCCAGGGGCAGCAAGTATCCAAAGTTGGTGTGACCCGCAAGTGTATCAGAAAGTTAGAAAAGCAACAGAGCACTGAGGACTACACTGGCTAGGGGAGAACTAAGGGACCTGCCAGTTGGTCTCAATGCTTATAGATCCCATCCAGCAGTTCACCTCCTGGCTGTGGACAGAGGGTCTAAACTCAGAGCCTTCAATCCTGTCTAGAGCTAACACATGCAGCAGGAGGCTGGCCCTTGAGACTGAGTCCTATGCCAGCCTCAGCCGGTGCTTTGTTTCCACTGCAGCCCTCAGGCGATAGGATGTCCTCCTTACCAGGGAGAGCAGAACCTCTGACTAGGATGCCCTTCACTGCCAGAGCTACTTGAACTTCCCTGCAGGACCCTGTCTGATTCTCTCCCTCTCCACTAGGACCACCTCACGGCCATCTCTCACCAGACCTGACACGTTCCCAAGACTCAGTAGACTGTGATTGTTCTTTGTTTTCAAGCCCTCAGAGCAGTTCAGCCTTAAAAAATAGGCCCTCTTTTAAGATAGGCTATAGTCCTTTGAGATAAGGGTTTGATAAAATGCCTTATTCAGTGAGATCACTGATCCCTGCACTTGGCTTAAGGCTTGCAGGGTGTGTGGGCTTTTCTTGCACCTACAATTGCCAGTCTTTAGCCAGGTCCATCTTGGTTTCCTTTGTGAATTCATCTTCAGCCTCCCGTCTCACTCCCAGGAAACTCTTTGCTGCTTTTCTGTTTCCTTGGTTTCTCTGTGCTTCTCTCTTGTACTAACACCTCTTTTGATTACCAGTGCTCTTCTTCTCTTCCTATATTTGGAGTATTGTCTCTCTTCTTACTCATGGAGTCAAAACAGTGGACACTTCTAATCTACCATCTTGCCCCTAATCTACAAAAATGGTATTTTAAACTTAGGTGTCATGGGATATGCCAGTAATCCCAGCACTAGGGAGACTGAGGTCAGGGGTTTGTGAGTCAGAGACCAGCCTGGGCTACATAGCAAGGTCCAGGCCAGCAGAGGCTACATATTCATGGCAAGACCCTATCTCAAAAAAAGAACCAAAAAAAGTAGGATTTTAAGCACAATTAACTCACAAATAAACCATATTAGTCTTGATTAGTTACTTTTGTTTCTTATTCTGTAAACATTGGAGGCTTAGAATTTTAAATATTATGGCAATATAGTGAGATTTCATGTAATAAGTTTGGGAAGGGTAGCATTTTGATTTTTTGTCTCTGCACTGAAGAAACTGTAGAACTCATGCATTTTTGTAGATATATACTCATTTCCAGAAAAATTGAATAAAATATGGTAAAGTTGTACTCTTCTTCCTAGGAAATCCTCTTCTATAGCAAGTCCTAACAATAAGGAGCTATCAATAAGAATATAATTATTCCTAATTCCTTAAAAATAGGAAGAAGTCTAAAAGTCCATCAAAGAACAATTAGCAAGTTGTGATGCATTTACTCACTGGACTGCTGATAAAATGAATGCAGCTGGCCTACATCTGTCAACATGAATAAATCAAAAACTGTAGTGTTGAGTTTAAAAAGGAATTTATGGCATGATGCCATTTATATAAAGTTCAAAGCTGTGAAACTACTGTGTAAGGTGATGGTTGGAAAATGATATGGTAAAAATATCTTCAAGTGCTTGAGAAGAATACAAGTCAAATTTCTGATAATGAATACTTCTGAGAAGGGAGAGGAGGGAGTAGGACCAGATAGGAGTTCCAGCTGTACCTGTCGTGTTATGTTCTGTATTTTAAAAGATAAAAAGCAAAACTGACATGTCACATATTACTAAAGCTGGTAGATATGTGAATATTCATTTTATTGAAATATATTTTATTATTCTCTGTTTTTATCTAAAGTATCTTCTCATTGCCTTTTAAGCCATTCACAGCCTTCAAAATAATACTGGTGTGTACAAACTCAAGTCAGTGATAGTTCTGTACAAGACAAAAATATCCCTGGGTGCCACTCAGATGTGACCATAAACAAGGGCCAGGGATGTCGTGCAGTAGTGGAGCACCACGTGCAGAGCTCAGGCTCAGTCCCCAGCACTACAAACTAAAAAGGAAAGCAAATTTCCTAAGACTTACTTGTCATGTGCTGTAAGTAGGTAAGCCAGTGTTTTTTTTATCAGGAGGCTACCAACTCAGAATAGTTAAAAATTCTTTCTTAAACGTTGATTCCTAAAAGCAGATAGTATTTGATAATTATTATTTAATTAGTTTTCTGAGTAAGTGGAATTTCATGTTTACCATCTTTATTTAATATTTATTAGTATGTTGAGACTTCATGGACACAAGTTTTTAGTCAATTTTGAAACTTTCTACCCAACCCTAACTTGTAATCTATTTAGGTTTGTATGTCTTCCCATCGGTTATGTATTCATAAGGTAATACTTTTTAGTTGGAAAGCATAGGATAAAATAGTAAATCAGTAAAAATGTTGGCTTCATACGTTTTTTTAATTATCTTTGCAGATTGCAGTACTGTGATGATACTCTCCCTGTAACTCTTGATCCACACTCAGAGGTTTCTGGGCCTCAGAAGAAAGCGGAACAAGTCCCAAGAGATATTGGATTTTGGTGTCCAAGGCATCTTAAGACTACTGGGGGACAAGGTTATAAGTTTTTGGGAATTGACCAGTGTGCACCTCCATGCCCCAACATGTACTTTAAAAGTGATGAGCTAGACTTTGCAAAAAGTTTTATTGGCATAGTTTCAATATTTTGCCTTTGTGCAACTCTGTTCACATTTCTGACATTCCTAATTGATGTTAAAAGATTCAGATACCCAGAGAGACCAATTATATATTACTCTGTCTGTTACAGCATTGTATCTCTTATGTACTTTATTGGATTTTTGCTAGGCAATAGCACAGCCTGCAGTAAGACAGATGAGAAGCTAGAACTTGGTGGCACAGTTGTTCTGGGATCTCAAAATAAGGCTTGCACCGTATTGTTTATGTTTTTGTATTTTTTCACAATGGCTGGCACTGTGTGGTGGGTGATCCTGACCATTACTTGGTTCTTAGCCGCGGGCAGAAAATGGAGCTGTGAAGCCATTGAACAAAAAGCAGTGTGGTTTCATGCCGTTGCATGGGGCGTGCCAGGCTTTCTGACTGTGATGCTTCTGGCTATGAACAAAGTTGAGGGGGACAACATCAGCGGAGTGTGCTTCGTGGGCCTTTATGACCTGGATGCTTCACGCTACTTTGTGCTCTTGCCACTGTGTGTCTGTGTGTTTGTTGGGCTGTCTCTTCTTTTAGCTGGCATTATTTCCTTAAATCACGTTCGACAAGTCATACAGCATGATGGCCGGAACCAAGAGAAGCTAAAGAAGTTTATGATTCGAATTGGAGTCTTCAGTGGCCTGTATCTTGTCCCACTAGTGACACTCCTTGGATGTTACATTTATGAGTTAGTGAACAGGGTAACATGGGAGGTAACTTGGTTTTCTGATCACTGTCGTCAGTACCACATCCCGTGTCCTTATCAGGTAAGAGCTATCATTAGATTATGTCACTGTTTGCTTTCAATATAGAAAATGTTCCTAGAAATACACTTGTATTAGTCATGGCCTTAGATTTCAGAGAAAATCCAACAGACATAAAAGCTGTTAAAGCTGGGATAAGCATCCTGAGAGTTCTTTCCTCAAGCCATGGCTCAGATACAGAAGTAAAATGACTGCTAACTCTTCTTTCAAAATTAAATTTACCTGCAACGGCAGATGGACTGAAATGAAGAACAGATTTCAGAAGAACAGACCTCATTAGAGGGAGAAATAAATAACTTCTACTAGACTGGGGCTTGTTTTTTCTTCCTCAATTAGTAGGGAAAACCCTTATTTGAATATATTTAATTTCATCATATTATCTTACAACTTTTTGTATAGTATATACTTATTAAAAACAAAACATTTTTGCTTCACCCATCCTGTCATTTCTTAACTGAAAAAAACCCACAATTGAAACAAAATATATTTCATGTGTTTCTGATGCTTATTATTAGTATATGGGTGGTGTTTTTAAGATGAAAAAAAGTAAATTTCTGAATGTATGTAATTTCTTAAGCATTTTGGTTGCGTTTTTAAATAGAGGTTTTGTTTTTTCCTTTTTATTAATAGATTTTAGTAACTGCATGCAGTACACTTGTAATCCCAGCTATTGAGGCAGGAGTATTGCAAGTTTGAGGCCAGCCTGGGCAACTTAGCAAGACTCTCCATCTCAAATAAATAAATAAATACATAAATACATACATACATACAGACAGACAGACAGACTACTGACTTCAGGAGAGCTGGGGATGAAGCTCCATGGTAGAGCACTTGCTGGCACATATAAGGTGCTGAGTTCTATTTCCTGCACCACAAAAGGGCAGTATTTTTTTTTATTGTTTTTTTATTCATATGTGCATACAAGGCTTGGGTCATTTCTCCCCCCTGCCCCCACACCCTCCCTTACCACCCACTCCGCCCCCTTCCTTTCCCCCCCACCCCCTCAATACCCGGCAGAAACTATTTTGCCCTTATCTCTAATTTTGTTGAAGAGAGAGTATAAGCAATAATAGGAAGGAACAAGGGTTTTTGCTGGTTGAGATAAGGACAGCTATACAGGGAGTTGACTCACATTAATTTAAAAGGGCAGTATTAATGATAGGTCTGTACGCTTTTCTTGAATATTGATGTATGATATTAGCTATCATTATAATCTATCAAATTAGACATTATTTTACATATAAAGATAATCACTCTAACCTCATTTGCAAATGGAAATAGGTTGGAAGTAACCTCCATCTCTTTAAAAGGAGGTGGCTGAGTAAGTTATGGTTCATACATACCAGGGAACAGCTGTTATGCTCACAGCATGATCTCTCAGAAATACTAGTAAGTGCCACAAGGAAGAGGTAATGCAGAATATGTAATATTTTGATACTTGTATATTTAAAAACAGTGTTTGAAAGTTTGAAAGTGTCATTTTAATTTTATGAAATCTCTACATTTTGTTTTTGGTGGTACTGGGGTTTGAACTCAGACCTTGAGCTTGCAAGTCAGGTGCAAGCTACAACCACTTGAGGCACGATCCCAGCCCTTTTTCCTTTCATTATTTTTCAGGTAGAGTCTCATGTTTTTGCCCAGGGCCACCCTCAGACCATGTAACTGGGATGATAGGCACATGCCACCACACCAGGCTTTTGCCTGGGCTATCCTTGATTCACAGTCCTCCTGATCTCTGCCTCTGGAGTAGATGAGATTACAGGTGTGAGCCACCATGCCTGGCCATCCAAGTTTTTATAACAAACATGAATGAATAAATACTATAAAATATAAGTTATAATGTGTTTTAATGTGTTAGATTATAGTGAAGAAGACTATAGTTAGAGGCAAATATTTTGTAATTATAAGAGGCTTCTGTACCTATGGGGGAGAAGGGCCAGGAAATCATGCCAAGATTTAGAAGATTGCTCCTAAATACATTTTTTTCCCTTTCCGAAGACATATTTTGACACACATACAAAGGTTCCCTGTTGAGAACTGAGGTTAAAATAATGTATTACACTGAAAATCCTATTTATTTTATTATCTCAAACCTTTTGCAATGAAACAGACTGAAGATTCGTAATTTTTATTCAAGGTTTACATTGACAGTATAGACTTTTTCTCTGCATTTTAAATTTATCATTATTTGTTTGTGTGCTTCTATTCATAGGCAAAAACAAAAGCTCGACCAGAACTGGCTTTATTTATGATAAAATACCTGATGACATTAATTGTTGGAATCTCTGCTGTCTTCTGGGTTGGAAGCAAAAAAACATGCACAGAGTGGGCTGGGTTTTTTAAACGAAATCGCAAGAGAGAGTAAGGACCTATTGCATTCTCTGACATTGTTTTATTTATTTATGTATGTATGTATGTATGTATGTATGTATGTATTTATTTATGGCAGTACTGGGAATTGGTCTCAGGGCCTTGTACTTGCTATCTCTGCCGCTTCAGCCATGCCCGCAGCCCCTAACATTGTTTTAAAACAACTCGATCAGAATACCAAGATTTTTTTACCTAAGATACTAAAAATTCAAACTTGTAGAATATTACAATATAGATATACATTATGAGTAAATAGTTCACCTTATTTATTTATATACATTGTATGCAATTTACTATAGAGGTTTTTCTCATTGTTCCTCGTTGGTTTGATCAGTGAAGTCTCTGTGATACAAATCACAGAACTATAGCCAGGTATGGTGGCTCACACCTGTAATCCTAACACTTGGGGAGGCTGAGGCAGGAGGATCATGAGTTCAAGGCCAGCCTGGGTTATATAGCAAGATTTATAGTTTTCAGAACTGTAGATCTTTTCACGAGTAAGTTTTTTGAAGTCTGAAAAACTGCACTTAATATATTTTTGCTCTATTATTCATAACTTGTCAACTTTAATATAGAATTTCTAACTTTAATGAATGAGGACTTTTTGGCGAAAAGATACTTAACATCTTTATGGCCTTTATGATAACACTTAAATTGTATTGAATTTTTCTACAGTCCAATCAGTGAAAGTCGAAGGGTGCTACAGGAATCATGTGAGTTTTTCTTAAAGCACAATTCTAAAGTGAAACACAAAAAGAAGCACTATAAGCCAAGTTCACATAAGCTGAAGGTCATTTCCAAGTCCATGGGAACCAGCACAGGAGCTACAGCAAATCATGGCACTTCTGCAGTGGCGATCACTGAGCATGATTACTTAGGACAAGAAACTTTGACGGAAATCCAAACCTCCCCAGAAGCATCAGTAAGAGAGGCAAGAACAGACAGAGCCAGCACCCCCAAACTAAGAGAACAGGACCGAGGTGAACCTGCCTCCCCAGCAGCATCCAGCTCCAAACTCTCTGGGGAACAAACCGACAGGAAAAGCCAGGTGGGCAGTGTGAAGGATAAAAGCAGTGTATCTGAAGGTGCTCGGAGTGAAGGAAGGTGAGATTTAATTTTATTATCCAAAATCATCATGACTTCAAATACTGCATTATCCACTTTTTTATTAAACATGGCACATGTGAAAAGTAAGCATTTTATGATCTATACTTATACTCTTAATCCAAGGAAGTTTAAGTTTAGCCTATAAATATACTATTTAATAGTTTCAATTCTTCGCTTTAAAAGGAGTTTTAATATATACTGTTTGAATAGGAAAGAAATGTTCACCTCTTATGATAATTATTAAAACTTACTTGTACATTTAGGTGAATGTTTACCTAAATACAAGCCCAGGTTTCATTCATACTCATGATTGCCAAAGTCCCAGCAGTCAGGAAGTGGAGGCAGATGATTCCAGAGTTTGAGGCCAACTTAAGTTATACAGTGAGCTCAGAGCCAGCCTGGACTATATAAGTGAGACCATAAACAAACAAAAATACTACATTATAATTCTGTCTAAAAGGTATCATTTTATATAAAGATTATTACATAATGTTTTTGTTTTCTGAACCTGAAAAGATAGTGACATCATTAATGAATTTTCTCAAAAGCACATAGCTGACCAAAACACAGGTAAAAATTGAGTTAGCCAGAAAACTGACAGCTAACTGCTTTAAGCTCTCAAGGTTATCGTCTGTAGCCCGCTCAAACTAGGCTATATGCATCTTCTTTGTACTCCCATGACAGCTTTCATACACCTGGACTGTAATTAGGTGCATGCTTTCATCCTCCTAGCTTTGAAAGTTCCAAAGGCAGAGCTGAGGCCTTACTCATCTTTTACAGCGTCTTAGCTGTGGTGGGAAATCAGTGGTGAGAATGTGCTAGACTGGGAGCAGCAGTTTGCTAATTGTGTTCCCTTGAGACACCATGCTCAGCCCACATACAAGCAGTACTTGATAAAGCTTCTAAAGGCAGCAAAAAGTATATTTGAAAAAGGTTTTGTATTTTGAGGTGTTAGAATATACTGAAAGACCTTTAGTGGATAATGGTTGGGGGTAAAACTGATGAAAAATAAGTTACTGTTATAAGGACATCTGACATTTCATTGGTGCTTATGCATGTAACTGTTTTTCTTTTATGTAGGGTAAGTCCAAAGAGTGACTTTACAGAGCATGGCCTGGTGCAGAGTGACAGTTTACAGGTCCCCAGTTCTTCAGAGCCGAGCAGCCTCAGAGGCTCCAAATCACTGCTTGTTCACTCAGCTTCTGGAGATAGAAAGGAGCAGAGTGCTGGCAGCCATCCAGATGCTTGAGAACATTTCATGTCATTACCTAGGAGCAATTGCACGTTACACTGGAGGTGGCCAACTACTGTCTTATGAGAATCACTATCAGGCTAGGGCTATAGTTGCCTAGCATGCTGGAGGCCCTGGGTTCCATTCCTAGCACTGAAAAAAAAAAAAAATCACTGTTCTTTTGCACTTAAAGTTACATTGACTACTGTTACACTGGAGGGAAAAAAAAAAAAAGGTTTCAAGAACCAATACAATTCATTTCCACAAAGGTTGTGACAACTATAGTATACCAGAAAACAGAAATGTGCAGATTAATGTTTTTTAAATTGCATGGGAGGAGCAAGTTAAGAGGAATCTTCCTTTTCTATTTATGAGGATTCTACTGTTGTTAAAGGTATTTTAAGTTTTTTATTATCCTATTTCATTTTTTATATAAAGTCAAGAGTTTTCTTTGCTGAAGTATTTAAAACTTTATATCTGTTTTATATATATTTGAACATAAGCTTATATGTATTTGAACTTTTCTGGAAAATCTGGAGAATTGATTCAAATATTTTATTATGTTTTTCTGATATTTTAGCACATCTTTGTAGTTTTTACACTGAATTTCTAAGAAAATTTGAAAATACTATTCTTTTATGGTATAAATACATAGTTGATGCATCAAAAAGTTTTATAATGAGATTCAGCTTTTCCAAGCCACTTCCCCGTTACCATCTTGCATGTGTGAAGTTTGAGCGTCGTTGTTTCAGGGCTTTGACAGCTGCATTCTGCAACTGCAGTAAGGTGCTTCTGAGGAGCATCCAGTGCCACCTGCACTGTGCTGCTCCCCGCCCCTGTACATGTTGACTTTCCTGAGGACTTGGAGATGAGACATTCCTTTATAAAGTAAGCCAAGTGCAATTGCTTTCCCTTTTTATGTTTCATCACCACCCAACATCTTTACAGTTGCTTAGACTGTTCCTTTAACTTTTTTTTTTTACATTGAGAATACTACATACCCTTAGTATGCTGTAGTATCTTTGTCAGATATTATTCAGAATTCATTTCTATAGCTAAACATTCAAAAGTGTGTTAACAATAGTGCCAATCAAATGGGAAGAAAAGGCCTGATAACCAAATTGTATTTTGTGCAACATACTTTAAATTTTAATTTTGTTTCTCATTAAGTATTATTTCTTGAACAAAAATTTCAGATGCTTTTTTGTCTGTTTAGCAATCTGTTAAAGTTTAAAAATATCATGTACTGTATGGAAAATGTTACAAATATTAACTTTTCCACATTTGTAAACAGATAACTTCGTATACAAGAGCTTTGTCTTGTGTCATCTTTTCATTAATAAAAGTTTCTTTGTATAAGAGACTACAGAGTATTCTGTGGTTAGGTGTTGTCATCCTTGACTCAGGAAGTAGTATAAGTTTTCAGATTAGTGATGCAGTGTAAACTGTCTCTCTCTTTGGTCACAGTTTCTTCCTCCAAATGTAAACTATATTAGACATATTTACTAACTGGAGGGCCTAGTCAAAGGGAATCCAGAACCCTTCCTTTGCTCCTGACAGTGGATTTGGCAATTTGAACAAACCTCCCCAAAATGAAAGCTAAAATATATGGATGAAATAAAACAATATCATCCTCCAAACACTAAAAAACTAGTAAGATAGTGAGGAATTGCCAGATTAAGATCTGGGACAAGAGAAATTCACAGTTAAGTTCAACACTTGGAGCTTCTTTTGAATGGGAGCACTTGCTGATGTGGGAAGGGTGGCTGAGAGGCTGAGTGATGGTTACTGACAGCCCACGGGGTGGAGGATAAGGAGAGGGGAGACTGCAGCTGCCACACACAGAACTGTAACCTTTCAAAGGGCTGGATCCTAGGACTAGGTATGAACTACTTCTGGTTATCTGGGTGGACTACAAGAAGCTCAAACCCTAAAGTAGAGTTCTAGATTAGTAACCCTCAGGAGCTAGGCAAAAGCAAACAAAAACCATCTCCGGAGGAAGAAAATGCTGTTTTTTTATACCTACAAGTACTTTTCCAGATGGAGTGTCCATTTTATAATCAAACAATCAGGCATGACAAAATTTAGCTCACCAAAAAATGAACAAGAATTAGCAAAAACATCAGGTAAGAGAAAAATATCACAGGCATGCCTGAATTAACAGTCATGTATCATGTACCTTAAAACTATTAGCACAGAAACCAGTGAGACACTAGATACCTATTGGAATGATAAAAATCCAAGAAACACACCCAATTTTTGGTGAGGATGCAAAGCAGCAGGAGCCCATCCTTACCAGTGAGAATGCAAAGTGGTACAACCACCTTGGGCGTTTCTTTCCCAGATGAACGAGTCATACTATATAACCCAGCAATCACACTCCTAAGCACTTATCCAACTGATTTATGTAGAAAATCCATCCCGAATGTGGAGTGTCTCCCTCCTTACATATGGGCAGCAAATTGTGACTTACAAATAAAGTAGGGGCTGGTTGTATAGCTCAGTGGTAGAGCACTTAGCCTGGCATTTGGAAGGACCCGGGTGTCATTCCCAGCACTAGAAAAAAAACAAGTAAGAGTAGGTGTGGGGTCAGTAACTTTCACAGTGAAGAAACCCAACAGATTCAATCTCAGCCACAGAAGTACCTGACACTCAGAAGGTGATCAAGGTCAACATCAACAGTGACAAGTCAAAAGAGTATGTGCCGTTGAGATGATTTCATGGAAATGGCACTTCACCTCTGTAATCTCCTCTCTAAAACCTTAGTCTACTCATGAGGAAAATAGTGGCTAAGTCCCAGCTGATGGACATTTTACAAAATACCTGGCCAGTATTCCTCAAAAGGAGTCAAGATTATTGAAACTAAGGAAAGTCTTAGAAGCAGTCACAGCCAAGGGAAGCTGAAGGAGACATGACTAGTAAATCTAATGTGGTATCATGGAAAAGAAAAGTACATTAGATGAAAAAAGAAAACCACTTAAAGAAAGCAGAACAAAGCATTGGCTTTAGTTTATCTCTTGACTTAGCCATTCAATTCAGTGCAATGTCCTTTAATTATATATGTGATCATTCTTTCCCTTTTCCTTGCTCTTTTTCACTAGAACTGTTTTTAATCAGATCCTGGATGGATCCTTTAATTTTCTCATCTTCTCCATTTGCCTATCTCTGAATTTTTCTTCTTTTTCTAAGAAAATTTATCAAACTTTTCTTCGTAAATTTCTATTGAATTTTTGTTTTGACTATCATATTTTCATTTCACAAAGCATCTTTATTCTTTTTTCATAGTATCTTCCTGTTCTGTCATTTTAATACTATTTGAAAGTATATAATTTACTTTTTAGAGGTCATGTAGAGTGCATTGGTTTTTAAATTTTATTAAAGTCCTTTGGTCATACTTTATTTTTTGGTGTTGGTACTGGGGTTTGAACTTTGGGCCTCACGCTTGCTAGGTGGGTACACCACCCCTTGAGCCACTCCACCAGCCTTTTTTCTTTCTTTCTTTCTTTCTTTCTTTCTTTCTTTATTTTTTGAGATAGGGTCTCACGAACTATTGTCCTGGCCTGGCTTCAAACCGCAATCCTCCTGATCTCTGCCTCCTGAATACCTAAGACTACAGGTGTGAGCCACTGGCACTCAGCTTTTAGTTATTCTTGGTTGACTTTGTTTTATTTAGATTTTTCCTGGATTTTCTAAGTGGGCAGTTTTCACCTCAAATAATGGCAATTTTGTTTCTGATCAATTAGCTTAAACTTCTAGCCAGTTGTCATTAATCTTAATAGCAGTGGACATTCTTGTCTTGTTTCTTTAAAGAAAATGCATATAATACTTCAACAAGAACAATGGCATTTGCTATAAGATAGACATTCTTAATGAATTAATAATCCTAAACCATTTTACAATTAAAAATGGTGATAGGTGTTGATTTTACCAAATGCCTTTTTAAAAAGTCAATAACAGCATTAGGCTAACAACTGCAATCAACAATCCTTGAAATTTTAATATTTTAAGAATCTGTTACTGTTCACGTGACAGATACAGATGTTCTCAAGGTAGCCATCCAAATGGTGACTCAACACTCCCATCCAACACTCCCATCTGTGGCTTTGTCATCTCTTCTGTAGAGGAAAATTATACAGGAAAAAGTTTCACGGCCAGAGCTGGAAGTGGCACACATTTCCAACTGCTTTGCATTTGCCAGAACTTAGGCACAAAACCACACCTACCAGCAAGGGAGACTAAGAAATATAGCCTAGGTGTATTCCTGGCAGAGAGAAGAAACAGGTTTGTTGAGCCTTTCCCAACATTTCAATCTGCTAATGTGATGTGTTCACTGAATCTTTTAATACAATAACCTTCCCTGATTATGATGCATCTTTAATGCAGGGAGACATATGAATTATTAGTGATTTGTTTAGGATAAAAATTTGCATATACATCCACCTATATGCCATATGATCATCGGTCATGGGTTTAATACTTACGATTAGTAAACCTGAATTTTAAAAGTATTCAAGATGTAAAGCAAACTCCAAGAGTATCATTTAATTCAAAAGAAAATGGTAGGATTGTTTTCATGGGACCAGAGTCTTTGATACAAAAGATTCCTGGTGTCTTAGAGAGAGGTGACATTCATCTTTATAAGAATTCCAAACCTTTTTCAATCAGGAAATTTGATCTAAATCACATAATTGGATTTGCATTTACAGTAACAAAGTTGGCATGAGTAGTGTGCAACTATTCTCCAACAGCAGCAGAGATGGGGTAAGACAGGACTTCTCTTTGAAAGTCTTCTACAAACCCTCAGCAGAACTGTACAGGATTAAAAAACAACCTGTAACTAGAATCTGTAACTATTACTGTTATTCGTGGTTCCAAAGGACTCTTGCCTAAACTTTCCTGTTAAAACTAAACCCAAACCACCTTGTAATTGCCACCCAGCATCAAAATCACAGTTTTCCTGCTTCCTTACTTTCATCTCAGAAATGTACCCCGGTGGGTGTGTCCACTTACTGCTGCTGGAAAGTTTAAGATTGCCAAGGCAGGCACGGGGACTCTCAGGAAATGAAAGATGTCATTTGTAATAACCACAGGAAGCCCTGCTTTGCTTTTCTGCTTGGAAAGCATAATCTTTAATACCTCACTGCCCACAGTTGAAGACTTCCAATTCCAGATGGTAACAGTCTGAACGGCAGCCACTGTGATCTGTCACGTACAGAAGGATCAAGTTGTTATTAATTCAAAATGGCCAAAGGCTTTGGGACTCTGCTAGATGGCGAAGAAAGTGGCACAGTGAATGACATCACAATTAGCATTACTCAAGGAAAAGGACTAAGAAAGGCCACAACTGGAAAGGAAATGCAATGAAATGAGAAGAAAAAA